AGCCAGTCACACTGGGGGTGATCAAGTGATTCCCACATGATTTGGCATTGGGGATGCCATCCCCCCCCCCCCCCCCCCCCCCCGATCACTGCTTTAGTGACCATGAAGCAGCAAAAGAAGGCACCTGAGGAACAATCACAAAACTCACAGCCAGTGGGAGATGGAACTCCCAGTGCTGAAGATTGGAAGAAAGACCTAAGGTTGCTGCAAAGAGCTGATCAGTCTTTACAAGGCTGATGGAAGGAAATGTCTCCTAGTGGGACTGCCTGCAAAAGTAAACCAATCTTAGTGGAGAAAAAAGGAATGCTAGTGAGGCTCAGAAGGGTCCCAAACCCCTAGGAAGGGCCAGACAAGTTCAGAGCTAGTCTACTGAACTTGACACATGAAAGCCAATGGGCAGGTCACCTGGCTTTGGAAAAGACTTTGGCCCATCTGAAGGCAAGGTTCTATTGGCTTAGGATGACTTAGGATATGGTGAGGCATTGTTATAGTAATCAAAGTACTATCGAGTGAAGTTGGGTCTCATAGTCCCATTGAAATTATATACACCTGATGAATTATACTGTAGAAACTCATGGATTTTTGACTGGTCTACAGGAATTTCCAGAAAGTAGAGCTGTAGCCCTCTTAAGATCTTTGTTATTCTTGCAAAGGGGAAACAGAATGACCCATTGACACAAGCATCCCTAAGCAGAATGTGTCACTGAGAAATCATATTTACTTCTTCCTGGTTCTCTGGGAAGTTCCTGGTGATGAAACAGGCCAGGAGACTGAGCACCAGACTCAGCACGGGCTCACCCATGCAGAAAGATCTCTTCCTATGTGGCATTGAATGCTGGAAAGAAAGCTTTGTCACCTCTCTTGCATTCTCATATACGATAACCATCCAGCAGCTTCCCCTCTGCCCTGAAAAATCTGACATTGGAAGTCTCAAAGATCTGTTGTGACACATAAATGAAGTATTCATAATGCTTTTGCCATTATAGACTTTGTCATATCTCTAAGACCATAAGAAGAGAACCTGCTGCATATTTTAAAAAAACAAGAGTATCATTTTTTGAAGTTAGCTACAAGAGGTGAGGATGACTGAAGACCCTTTTGGATTGCGTGGGTCTGTTCTTTTTTGTACCTGTCCAGTTTTGTCACCTTTGCCATCTTTTATTCCTTTATTTTTGTTTATTATGGGACTTTGTCCCTTGCTCTTAGTGCTTTTCATTGGGAGTCAGGTAGTATATAATAAATAAATAAATAAATAAATAAATAAATAAATAAATAAATAAAACACGCACAATCAGTTCCTTTAACAACATCTACAGTCTGGAATGTTCTCCCATCTGAAATTATTTAGGACCTTTCACCCACCACTGACAACCTATCTTTTCCCTTGAACGTTGGATGAACAATTTGCTTTGGTTTTGCTTTTCTTTCCCCTCCAGCTTTTTAATGTATATGTTTCTTTACAGTATATATTCTTTTAATTTATTGTTTTATTCTGATGTTTTATTCTTTATTCAAAACACTGGGAACTGCTTCGATGCAACTGAACAGGAAGTAGGATATAAATATGTCAAAAATAATACATAAAACATTCACATAAAGAAGCCCAAATATGCTGCGATATGACAGCCTCCAACTTTTTTTTTTTTTTTTTTTTTTTTTTTACTTTAAATCTATTTTAATACAGTTGTTCAAGTTCTCAGAACCATTCTCTTGGCCTTGCAGAGAATGCACACAAGTGTTTTTCAAAGGGGGCAATTCTACTATATAGAAGGGGCCGTGTTGCTATTAACAGACAATTGGATTGACTCCTCAGTGCCACTGATTCCAATGGTCTATTCTAAGTATGCTGAAGCTTGAACTAAACATAATTCTGTTTCAGAACCTGCTGGGAGAAAATCGAGGTAATCAGTTCTGCAATCTCTCTTGGCAACTGGTTGTACAAGCTATTTTTCTGTTAGGAGATTTTTCCTGAAACTCAGTTGGACTTTTTCTTCATGTAATTTAAATCTAGTATTCTGTGTTCTGCGTTCTGGAATAAGAGAGAACATATTTAATCTTTCAGGTAATTTTAAGAGTGTGCTATCCCATTTCTTCTCAATCTTATTTTCTCACTTCTGGATATATCCAGTTCCCTCCATCTCTGTTCATAGGACTTGTTTCTGGTCCCTGAATTATCCCTGTTGCCATTCTCTGAATCTCTGTCTGTCTGCCTCTGTCCCTTTTAAAATCCCTGATTCCCAGTCCCTGAGATGGGCTGATTTAATAGAAGAATAGAACTATCAAGTCTTATGATAGTTCCAAAGAAGGAGCTATTATTCATTAGTCAAGACATCACTTTTCACTTTTGTATTCATTATTTTACTATTTGCTTTCAATTTACAATTGCTATGTACAGACTTCAGATGATGAGCATTTACGGTCTTTCAATTAACCTTCATTACTGTGGAAACAGACGTTCTGAGCTCTTCATCATATTTTTGAAAAATTCAGGCTAGTGCACATGGACAGCAAATACAATTGAATTAACAGTCTGGTGTTTGTTTTTAAAGTCTTTTGATCTAGAATTTTAACTGAGACACTTTTTTTTCCCCATTGCAGTTGGATAAGAGCAGGGGTGCCTTTTGATTCAAGGCCAGAGAAGGTGAAGCTTGCATTAATTTTGCAAAACCTCACTAAAGGGGACAAAAATATTTCACTTAATCTTGTATTGTATGGAAAATCTCGTATTGCAGTTACAGATGCTGGTGCATTATATGAAAGTCAGCCAATTCCCAGACCTCTGTCATTCTTGTGGGTGCAAGGGGTGCAACTGAGAGCTGAAAGATACTGTAGTAGCTTGAATCTGGGGGAAACTGTGCCTCTATATTTCACAGAAAAAGATAACAAAATGCTTGATTGTGTATAGCATCAGATGAGAAAGCACTCTTCTGATGCAGTGTTATGGACTTTTCTGACCTCAGTGGTTTATACTTGATGAAACGTAAACAATAGCCAACCGAGTCCAACAAGGGAGAAAACATGGATGAAGAGATGTTTCTCCCTAAACTAGAAGACTGATAGTTTTTAAGCCTGACAGTTTTAAGCTTGATAGAAGCTTGGAATTAATACCCTTAAAACTCATGGGTTTATACCCATGAGGAGTTATGCTTCTTAGATAGGGATTCTTTTGCTTGTCACAGAGCTCAGTACTGAGAATTGCCACATCTGAGATGCAAAAATCAGGCAACCACTGCTGTGAAGAGATATGAAAAAACTCCAAATGTTTGATGCCATCTAATAGCCCTCCTGATTTTTGCGGCTCAGATCTGATAGCCCTGCCAGTCCCATGCATATTCCTGATGTTGGGTAGTAGCTCAGCTGGCAATTCAGTCTCAGAATGGGAGCTTATTACAACCTGTGGGAGAGGCCTGAGAAAAGATATCTAAGGGAATAGAAGTTTTTTGTTCTTTTTCAGGTAGTACAGGAATAACTTGCTGGTCTAACAAAGTCAATTATCAATGTTATTTCAAAGAAGTCATTCACCATCTCAGATAATGCTGCTTTGGAGCAACAAGGTTTGGCCTTCCCATAAGCAAGTATGAGTTTTAATTATTATTGTATTTGATTGTGTGATGTTCTGTACTGTACTTTATTACACAGGTCATTATCTGTGTAATAACTATCTATTTCAAAAGTATTTGAAAATGTATATGATTCTGCATGTAGACATTTAATTAGGAATAGGGTCTCTTTCTCATTCTCTCTCACATTGTTTCCATAAGATTCTCTCTATCTTCTTCCAAGAATTTAATATATGGGTTTCTTTGGGGGATATGGTAACAGGGCAAAATTATTTGATTCAGTCCTATACCTTTAGGAGATTAATTTAATCTCAGATAAGGAAATCTAAGAATGATATAGGGGTTAAGAAGTTGATCTAGAACAGGGGTCCCCAAACTCTTCAGCTCATTGACCTCTTCATGAAGTTTCAGATTGTTCATTGACCCCCAAACATTTATTATATGAAAATAATTAAATAAATACCACTTTAACTAATATCACTACTAATAATAGTAACAATAATAGTAACACAACAATAATGGATATTCCCACAGACCCTTGGAGGTTGATACTGACCACTTTGGAGAACCCTGGTCTAGAATGAGGAAGACCTATAACTTGCAAGGAATGATTTCAAAATCCAATTTTTAAAATTAAATTAGTTAAGTCATTTTATATTACTTACTTAAATACAAGTAAGTAATATGAAATCAATACAAATATTAATTTTATGGACTCTACCGTGGATGACTTTTCTAGCTCTTCCCTTGACTGTATTTTAGTGAGCAATATTTATTTTTTTAAAAAAGAAAACCATAAACTGCAGGTGTGTTTATGGATGGTGCTATAAAATAATATTCAAACCTGCTTAAAGTTCATCAGAAAAAGGAAAAGCCATCTGAATAATTTATTCTGTTGTAGATCTTATATACACACACACACACACACACACACACAAACACATATAGACAGAAATACCATTCCCTCCTGGGAAGACATTTACAAAATGTATTTGATGATAACATTATGTTTCTAAATAGAACCTCACAGTTATAAGTTTCAATACGTAACTAGTGTTATGGAGTCAGCTCTGAAAAATATTGGAGCAATCAAGGCAGAAATAGATTGGCTTTCCAAGCCCCCTTGTACTGACTTTCATACTGACATAAGTAATCTGGGCAGTAATGCAATTTTACTTCAAGTCTAGTTTGCCACTGTTACATTCTTATGGCTTCAAGAAAAGGACTGTCGGAAACATGTGGCAAGCCCTCATGTTAAGATTTATATAAGAGATAAAAAGAAAACGTGGGAGTGGGGGGTTCAGCTGGAAGTTGTTTGCTGAAATTTGATGGGAAGGTGCAGAAACCATTGAAATATGATAAATCATTTCTGAACATGTCACACTCTCAGATGTCTTCAGTGCAATGGATCCAGAAGGGAGGGGAAAAAATCAAACATACCCTCATGTTTGAAGGCCTCTGGGAACTGCTCGGGGTTTGTTGGTGGGTGATAGGGTTGCGGTGACCCATGCCAATCCGGAGAGAAGATGCTTCCCATGGCAGGGTAACTTGGCCGTTGCCTGTTCTTTGAGTTAATGGCAGAGGAGGAGTAAGATGATTTGAGTCTTAAAATAGCAGCGTATGAAGCAGGGAATCCCGGAATAGCTGCAGAGTATTCTGGTAGGTTGGAAAAAAGAAAGAGAAATGTAGTTCGAATTGGAGATAAGAACACTCATCTTTTAAAGGATTCAGCTTCTTAGGCAACACAAATATGTCTTCCCATCAGGATACACATAACTTGCATAACCAGATCTTCTACTGAAGGGTCTTGGGTAGAAATGGGATTCTCCTATTTGTCAGAAAGAGGGGCCCTGATAATCATTTCAGTGTGAATGATCTCTCTCAATCTGTTCTGGGGAGGACAGAGAAAGAAACTGGAGCCTTCTGAAAATATGTGCCCTACAAGTGAGATTGCATCCTTCCCTCGTGTCAGTACTGATCTGAAATGTATAAGATTGGTTCTACCTTTGTAGGTTGCTTGGTCTTTCTCTTACACTCTTATAAACTCATACAGCCCCAAATGGCGGAGCAGAAAGGCCACTTGCCCTAAACCTAATATTCAAACAAGACCTCAAATGTATGAGAGAGGTGCAAAATGTTTGGCCCTCAGATTGTTGCATTTTGAAATCAGTGTTCTGATACTCTGACCATGAACCAGATACGGTATGTGTTTAGAAACTTTTGTTTCATGGATGGAACAAAATGCCACTTGACTATTTTTGAGCTGTGTTTTGAGAGTTCAACTGTTCTAGCTCTGTAATTGGGCTGTTTTATATCCAGCTCTCTCCAGCCTAGACAGTTTGGACTGGATAAAGGCATATGAGAATGAAGTTTTAAGAGGAAAGAAGCATTTAAGCATATGGCCAGACACAAGGTGACTACAGACAGCTGCATGTTTGCCAGACTGACTGGTAAGCTACTGCCTTTAAAAAAAAAAAAAAAAAAGATGGGGAACTTACAATGCATGAGAAAGGATGGATAGGTTGCTCCTACAATATGCTTTATTATGCAAATGTATAATACAAAAGTATATATGTTTGCATGCATGGAAGTATTTTGCACAGTTGTAGCTAACAAGGCTAGGATTGTATAAAATCCAACACTGACTGGTTTGTTAAGCTTAAGTGTGCATGTGTACCCTGTCCATGTTTTTGTGTTGAGCTTCAGATGCATTTAAAATGGCAAAAATGCTAAATTGGTATGAGTTGATTTATTGAGCATTTCGTGTATGCTATGTGAATGCTCTTGTTTGGTGATAACATTATGAATACAATTAAGATGTGCGGAATCAAAACGCAGGACTCAAATGCAAAAGAATCAAGGCTTCACTGCAGTGTTTATTAGGGTTCATGGGAGACACCCTCCTGCAGGCAAAATGGATACTCTGATATTTATACAGTTCAACAAGAAAGGGAAGGGGAAAGAATGCATGCAAGCATACATCAGTAAGCAATAGATCTCAAGTTACTTTCTGCCCCCTTTCTTATCTCATCCTCCTTCGAGACAGATGCCTTGTGCATTTGCCCCTCTTCTTGTCTACTATCTTCAAGGAAACAATAGCCTTACTGAGAGGAAGAAACAAGTTAGTTTAAGGGGCCAAATGCCAGGAGGAACTGCAAGACAGATGCCTTGTTTATGGGGATGTTTGTGATAAGACTTTGAGATGAATCTTTTTACAACCAGCCCAGTTCACACCAGTTGGATAAATTCTTTACAACCAGCCATCTCCAAGGGTGCTGCCCATTCCTTTATATTTCAATTTTATTAAGGCGATCCCATTCATCTGAGGCCTCTAAAAACTTCCTTCCTTCACCCAGAGATGTATATTCCTTACAGAAGCATCAGTCACTCCTGTTTGCTTGTTAATTTATTTTGATTTTGCAGCTGGCAGTTACCTCTATGTGGAAGTAACAAAGGAAGGCTAAAGTGATTAGTTGCTATCTTTGTCCTGTATTCTCTTGGCTGAAGCACAGATGGTTTATTTATCAAAACTATAAAGACTTTTATCGGTTCTTTCGACTGGGAAATGGGGAGGCTTTTGGATAATAGATTTTAATTTAAAGATATTTTGCAGTAGGTAACGGCAGGACTGCATTCCCAATGTTTTCTACAGGCATTTATTTTAATGTTTTAAAAATGTTTTACAAGCCACCCACTAAGCCAAAATTTTGGCAGTTTGGATAGAGATGGCAGCACTCAGTCTGCTGTAACATCCTACACAACTTTGTTGGGGTGAACAATAAGAAAGCAGCAACTGTTCCTAAATTGCTGTTGTTTCCTATGGCCAGAAGATTCAAAATGTTTCAAGTTTTGTTCTGACAGATCACAAGAAACTTGAAGTGTTCTGACATAATGTTTTGGGTCAGAGGGTTTGTTTGGAATTTCTCTGCACACCCCTAAAATTTAGGTGATGGTTATTTATTTATTTATTTTGAAAGGATTTAAAATGTCTCATTTTTTTTTATTGTTGTGTGAGTTTCATCATCACCATCATCTTCCAAAGTTGAAAATAGCTCAAGTCTCTGTGGTTCTCTATAAGGGCCTGCATACATATGTATACCATACATTTCATATTTATTTATTTATTAGTTTATTTCATGCTTGGTAGTTGCCCAGTCTATATGCCATTGAGCTATCAGATACCATGGAATTGTACATTCTGCATCAATCTTAGAGAGTGTTTGGTATTTAAGAATTTAGACAATATTGGAAAGATGTCAAATATGGTAGATAAAAATTATCTTCAGCCAGGCGCAGATGACAGGAAGCTGCACTGTTATTCACCATATGTGTATGTGGGCCTTCAAATCAGTTTCTGTCTCCTGGCAACTGCCTGGACAAGTCCCTGCAGGTTTCTTGGTAAGGTTTTTTGGAACTGGCTTGCCATT